TAATTAACGATCCTTCGCTAGGGGAAAACATTGTTACAAAAGCTAGAATGACCAATCAAAACCCAAGTATAGGAAGATTCAAAAGCTTGACAACGAAATCATGTTATAATAGCTATTCAGATCTTTAAAATACGGGTAATATTAAAAAGAATTTATTCTAATCAATAATTATTAAGTTATATGATAAAATTTGATATTAAAATTAAAAACTGCCAATTTTAAAATCCAAATTTAATGACTATTAAGTTTAAAAACTATAAAATTACTGACGAGAAAAGAAAAAAATACATATGTTATTCAATTTATTTCTTCATTGAAATTAGATTAGAACAAACGCTACAATATCCAGTCATTTGACAATATATATATATATATTTTAATCCAAAATGTGTGAATGGGGTCTATGTGTATGGAGAGTGCATTCACTTATATATATATATATATATATATATATATATATATATATATAAGAATAATTATTTTATTATAGTTGTTTTTGTTGTTGTTGTTAAACAATTGTTTAAATGTAAAAAGAATAAAAAAATCGACTATATCGATTAAATAGTAAAAAATAAACAAAACAAAATAAACAAAACAAAATAAACGTTAGGATTTGAAACGCCTCTCTTACAAATTCAAAAATAAATCCTCTTCCTAAAATGATAAAACAAATAAAGAAAACGTGATCATTCGTGTCAAATATAAATAAGTTGACAAATGCAATGTGGTAAATATTTGTAGTACAACAAGATCGCCACATATCAGACACCATCTAGATGTTGTTAAAACATCAGCGCACTGGTGATATATTAATTTATGAAGAAGACAACAGAAGTAAGAAGGGAGCTAAAAAGTTCTCCGTCAAACCAGTACCTAAAAGACAAAATATTAGAATTGTTAAGACTCTTCTCTTGCATATGTCGACCACATCGTCACGAAGAGGTGCAAGACCCCACCTAAAAGAGGAGCAACAAACTTACCGTATCTGACTATTTTTTGACTCTCTTGCAACCTAGACTTATGTCTACCTATATATTTATAAAAATTAAAGAATTCGTTATTCACCTGGAAAAACGGCGATATGACATAAAACAAAACAAAGCAAACATTTCTTCTTGTTTGTGTCGAAAACTGTTCAGCACCCTTTCTCATGATTACATATTAACTTTGTAATAATCACCCTTCAAAATGTTTCATTTAGATATTTACGCTGTCAAATTTTATCATGCAGTTAATGTTTTCATAGAATAGCAAAAATTATGAAAGGAACCAAACTATTACCATACAGAAAATATCACTATAAGAAACGTGTAATTTGAGTGTAAAAATACATGATTTATCGACTGTAATTATGAGTCATGAATGTAGAGCTACATTGGATGGACCTAATAGCTTGTCTATAAGTTGGGTCCTTAATCGAAATTGTCAAACAACATATTTAACATTAAACATTTAACTAAGGTATCAACTTTGGAAACAACAGCAAAAAAGTGGAATAAAGTTAAGGGCATTAAAATGATGCTTCTCTTCAAAGTTGGTGATTGTATCAAGATAAATGCAGAGAAACTATTGTAAGTTCTTGGAGAAGATCTGTTTAGTGGTACAGGTTAAAACCAGCAAGCTTTGAACTGAAGGCTCTTTTCATGCAAGATCTTGCTACATTCGACAAAGCGAATTATTGTCCAACTCTGACAAAAATATTTTAGACACAAAATTAATTGCATGCTCCCTGCTTTTTCAGGAATCAACTCAAAGGAAAAGGTTGTCATCATTATAAGAGGTGTACCTGAGAATGGAAAACTATATCAAACGAAGAAGCAATAAAAACAGATACATGTTAAAATCGTAAGAGTACAAACAAAATCCATAGACGAAATGCTGATAAACGTTATAGAATATCAAAGAGTCCAGATTAAGGCATTAATGTCTATGGTACGTGATAGTGAACTTTGTGATTTGGGCGGGAAAAATAAACTGATATAAACTTTATGCTCGCAAATATATTAATTTGTTTTAGTTTGCAAAATGTGTAAAAATAAAAATGGATGGACTATGTGAAAGATACAAGATTTTTGCTTAATTTTCTGCGATTTCAGTTTACTAAGTGAAAACAAAAGGAGAAAACGTGAATGAAACGCTGATATAAACATTATTGCTATCTACATGGTTTTTAATGTTTATTGTTTCGGCTGGTTTTGCAAAAGAAAACAAAAAAAAAAACAACAAAAAACAACAAAAAAGAACGAAAGCCTAAAAGGATGGTCGACATTCATCCTCTGATTCTAACGTTGAAGCCAGTGTTGTGTAGCGTTCCAGTCCAGTTATCTGAGAAGCGGTATGTTTTCTTCCCACGAGGTACGGCGAAGGCTTCGTCGGACACACGTATTACACTTTTGTAAGTGTCGATAAAACCTTTGACCAATTCCAGGGCGTGCTGACGTCATTCGTTTGTTGGTTACTATTGGACCAAGTTGAGTGGAACGGCCGGTGAGTCACGGCTTTGTCTGGACGAGCATAACCGATGACTCTTTGATACGCGGCCATGATATGACTACAATTGGAAATGCTTGTTTTGTTTACTTTTGTAAACAAAATGGAGATTCTGATAATCTTCTCTGGGCTGTGTTCCATTAGGTCGAGGCCGATCATGGATCTCCACAACTTCTAATCTTGCGTAGGACTTAACATTGTTTACCTATTTGCTATCCCTACGCTCCCTATTATTCCATCCATTTATAAAAGTTCTTTAGTTAGGTTACTCGTTGTTTCCACCTGCCCCTGCTGTTTCCAATAGGTCCTGTAAAGGTCAAATTTTTTGAGTCTTCTTTTCTCACTATGTGTCCCGGAAATTTTAACTCTTTCTTTCTGATTTCATAAGTTTCCTTTTTTGTTTCTGTTTTCTATAAAACTTCTTCGTTGATAGATGATATTCTTAGCATCCATCTGTAGAACCTCCTTTCTGTTGCCTCAAGCCTTCTCTACATCTGTGAGGAAAATTTACTGCATTCAGTGACATATAGAAGGATTGATATGACCTAGAAGTTCAGTACTTTTTTCTTTCGTTTCTAACGAAGGTGTCCTGTTTCTTAATACTTTGTTTAGTTTTTGGAAGGCATCTTCTAATATTTCAATTTGGCTTCGGATTTCGGTGTCACATTTTCCTTTACCTGTTAGAATAGTTCCCAGATATTTAAACTTTTATAGCGATACACGATATAAATGACATGATCTTAAGGGAGTATTAAAAAAAGAACATGAATTTACATGGATTTCCGAACCAAGCTGCTTGGGAACGACAGTAGAATGGCCATCAGAGAGTTCCAATAAAAAGCAACTGAAATTAAGAAAGAAATATTAGTCAAAAATTAATAATTACTAAGCTGTGTTGAAGAGATTCCTGAAATCTGGCCGATTCAGATTACTTTCTTGGTCAGGCCAATAACTTTTCACCACTGTCTGGTATCTCAGCTTTATCCGTCATCTGGCTCCTTTGTGTCAGATTTTAGATTCAAAATCTAAATAACGCTGTGCGACATATTGCTTCAGAAATAAATGAAGCTCGTTCCAGAATGCAAACAATCAGATATTTGCCCTAGAATTTCAATAACATTGTACCGTAATTTGGCTTCAGAATTGAAAAAAACAAAAACGAAAAATATTTACCTAATTTTGAGCAAAAGCCGCACAAACACGTATACTATCTTCCTGAGAATAGTTTGCTTAGATTTTGAAAGGCACTTTTCGCTATTCCAATGAGTCTTCGGATTTCTGTGTCACATTTTCCGTCATCTGTTACTACATTAATCAGATAAGTAAATTTCTGCACCAGTTTGACGTCTGCAATGTTGGAATGTCTATTTTACTGACAAACATGTCTTCTTATCGTTAATAGTCAATTCTTCTTCATTTCCTTTACAACCACATCTAAGAGTTATTTCAGACAGAGCATGCGAGGAAGGAAGGAGATTTTTATGTGTTTTTAAGGAAAATAATAACTATAAGGATACGGATACTTACAATTTACAATAAAAAGGAAACAACTGATACTTCTGGGATATATACAGAAGAAAGAGAACCTGGAGAATTTAACACTTACAAGGCATACTGAAGGTAAAAGTAGTAGTAGGAAACTTCAAGTAACATAAACCAGGATGTTGTAGAGAGCTATGATAGAACCGCTATCCTGAAAATGCATAGCAAATAAAAGAAGAATAATGCCCCGATGATTTTATATACACTGCAAAAATTTCGAAAAAAGCTTCGTTGAACCAACCCAATCGATTTAGAAGTTTATCTCAAAATACTTCCGCGCTGATTTATATCAATGATATCGCCTTGGATACACGACTCATTAAAAATTGGGACGACTTGAAAGTTTTTGAGTTGTATTAAAAAGAAAATACCAATATACATTTTTACTTCTTGAAAACGTAAATGTCTATTCTTTCGTGTGCGTGAGTGTGTGTACATCCTTGCATGTGTAGGATAAAAATCAAGAAACGTTATGTTATGTCGGGCACATTTATATGAGACTAAATAAATGATTGAGAATTAATATCACAAAGACACAGCCAGAAGATTCAACTTTGATAAAAGGCAAACAATGAATTTTTTTAAAATCTAATAATCGTCAAAACTGATTTTATCAACAAAGAAATGCCACAAGCCACGCAAACATGACGGCAGACTGATGTAAAAATTATAGTGAGGTATTAAAAGACTCGAAGAAACTTTTCTGAATTTCGTAGAAAGAACCCAACCAGGTGAGATCCATTTAGAAGTTTATCACAAAATATTTTCGAGCCGATTAATGGCAATGATGTCAGATGGCATGATAAAGAAAATGCTTACAGCAAAAAGAGCCTCATATATATATATATATATATATATATATATATATGAATAATTGAACATAAAGCAAGAAAGCGAAATACGAAAAAAATGCTAGATGATAAACATTTCAAAGATAAATAAAACGCTGTAAAATATTTTTATTAGAATTATTTCTTAACATTTGTGAAAAACGAGAAAAAGACAGACGATAAGGGATAATCTGGAAAATAAGAGATAAAAAAGAAGAACGACGAATTGAGGAGGGGGGGAAAAGTGAACGAATTACAGGTAGAAGAAAGAGAGAAAAATAAGAAAGAACATAAATAGAAAATGTAATAAAAAGTGGTATGTATAAAGAGAGATATAAAAAAAGAGGAAAAGATGAATTTGTAAAATAAAAGAGAACAAGGAGAAATAGTGAAAGATAGAGGATAATACGAATAGAGAAAAACTAAGGGAGAGAAGATGCAAGGAAGAGAAGGAGAGAGATAAAATAGTAAAACAGGAAGAGGAGAAAATGTAAGAAAAAGATAAAATTTAAGAAAGTGAGAGATGTGTAAAAAGAACCGAAAAATAAAAGAAAAACAGAGGAGGAGTAAAAAGAAAAGAGAGAAAAATAAATAAGAAGGAATGAGATAAGGAGAACTATTAGAAAGAAGAGAGACGGAAAAAAACTTGATGTTCACGAAAAGGAAGAAGAGAAACACCTTGAGTGCGAAGAAATGAAAGCGAGAGAAAAGAAAAGATAAGAATAGGAGGAGAAGAATAGAAATTAGAAGAAGAAAGAGAAAAATAGGGAATAAGAAGAAAAATAGGCTTAAGGAAAAATAGAAATAGGGATGAACAGATAAAAAACAGACTAAAACGCTGGAAAAGGAAGAGAAATGAGAAAAATGAGAAGAGTAAGAAGAACGTAATGGAGTCAAAAGAGGAACTGGAAATGAAAACTAAGAAAGATGAATTGTAGCAAAGACAAAACCAATGGAAAAAGAAGGTAGAAAAAGTCAGAGCAATAAAGAGGAATGTCGGGAAGTGAAAAAGGAATAAAGAAAATATGTGTGAAGCAGACGAATAATATTAAGAAAATGCCTGTTTTTTTTAATGACCTAAAGGGACATAACTGCAAAATTTCATTATGTCAAATGTGGGATTCTTTAGTGAATATTTCAACCAATAAGAAAACGTGATTAACCGGGAGGGATTGCTCTGTTCTTCGGCAACGACTGATAAAAAGAGAAAGTATGGAGAGGGGGTTCAGAGAGTATAGAGATAAGAGGTCACCAAGGGAGATAATCCTTTAGAGAAATTACGACTATGTCCTATAAGGGATTTTCATCCAATTTGTGCCAGGTATAGAATTGTGAGATAGATTTAAGGAATATTATCGTACTTATATTTAAAAGGCATGATGCAGAGAAACAATTAACCAGAATTTAAATACACACACACTCTCCATTTATCCCTCTCTGTCTGTCTGTCTCTCTCTCTCTCACACACACACACACACACATATACATATATATATATATATATATATATATATATATATAAACACACACACACACATATATATATGTATAATGCATACACGTATACATACATGCTTATATATATATATATATATATATATATATATATATAAATATCAGATGGTGTGAAGATATCAGATGGCCTGACAATTGCGTTCATGCATGAAACAGACTGTCGCCGCTCGGTGTTGATATTGTTGTCGATACTTATATTTACACACACTCTATATAGCATATCTCAAAACTATATTTTATCACACACACACATATATATATATATATATGAGTAATGACAAATGGAAATTTACCTTTATCAAGCCAAATTGATAAAGTCCCTCAGCGGATGAAACACACGCTGTCAAAGATAAGTCTGTATTCTATTTATTCATATTGTCTATTTACAGATATACTCTATCTGAAATTTTTACACACACATACACACACACACACATATATTGAGATAGATAGATAGATAGATAGATAGATAGATAGATAGATAGATAGATAGACCGTGTTAGGCATTTGAGAACGCACATTTAGCGGAAGATGACCTAATGTGTTGTAACGCGGCATGCGGCAAATTTTTTAATAATCTCAATTCTTTTCAAAGGTAGCAAGAACAATATTATGGCTGCTTCTAATCTGAGACATGCAAAGAAAAGGCACGTCACTCACCACCTATCACATCAAAACAACGATAGCTAGTTACTTGAATGTCGTCTGAGATTTCATTGTCATGACCAGAAACGAGCTAGCAACGTCTGGTGAGGATATAATATTTATGACTAAAAGAAACATTCTAAAATGACAAAATTCGTAAGGGCAACAGAGAGCGTCCAGTAAGCCTGTATAAACCATGACCCCAGTAATTTGATGAGGACCATTGCCACTGTCGATGTCGAGATGCTGGGTAGACAGGCTGTCCCGGTGGCGGACTTTGGTTTCTTCATTTGGCCTCCTAACTCTCATGATTCGAATCCTTGAGACAACTACGTCTCATCATCGAGTCCAATCAGCAATCTCCCAATGACCGGGACTCGTTGAATGCCAACATCATGGATTGGATGGCCAACATGAATGAGAAACAATTGGTCCGAACATCCTGTCTAAGGCTGACCTCTAGGCTGGTGACGGTTTTATTGAATAAGTTTTTTCCTGCTGAAACATGTGTATAATGTTTTGGTAAATATACAAATTAATAAAGTTAAATGTTCACACACACACACACACACACACACATATATATATATATATATATATATGCATGTGTGTGCGTTTGTGTGCCCATGCGCGTGTGTGTGTATGAGGAAGCGAGGGCGAGTAGTGAAGGAATAGAGAATCGTAGAGGAAGGTTAGATATAAAAATAGACAGGGAATGAGAAAAAGAAGACAGAGTGAAACGAAGTTGAAAAATTGAAAGATGCAAGAAAAAGAAAAAAAAAAAACAGAAAAAGAGAGGAGAGAAAAAATATTAGAGAATATTGTCAAGAATGCATATAAACTGCTTAATGCAGAACAAGAATTCACTGTAGAACGAATAAAGATAGATGGATAAATAAGGAGAAGAGGATAGGAAGATAAATAAGAGAGAGAGAGAGAGAGAGAGAGAGAGAGAGTGGGAGAGTGAGTGGGAGAAAGGAAGATAGAAATAGAAAAAGAGAAAAAGATGGAAATATAGAAAAAAAGAGTAAAAGTAGGAAGATAAAGAGAATGGGAGAGATTATTTCTTATTACTCCAAACGTTATTTCTAGTGGATATCCTTGTTTTTAAACCGTGTGAATTACGTCTACCAGTGTGCAAAGGGGATCGCAGTTTCAAACCCCGCCGGCGTACATATTTTCTTTATAAATCTCTTGAATGGTCGGTAGATATGATTCACACTGTTTTTTTTTTTTTGTAAAAAAAACAAACAAAACGGGCCGTCTACTCAAACATTGGTATCCTGTAAAAATAACACTTGGAATAATAAGAAATATATATTCATACAAAAATGATAGAGTGGATATAGGAACCATACTTCATAATGACTGTCATCTTCACGCTTCAGTGTGATCTTTTGACGAATGCTCCTATATATATATATATATATATATATATATATAAATATATATATATATATAAGAGAGAGAGAGAGAGAGAGAGAGTGAGTGAGAGAGATATACCCCTATATATATATATATATATATATATATATATATATATATATATATATATATATATATATATATATATATATATATATATATATATATATATATGTATATATATATATATATATATATATATATATATATATATATATATATATAGATAGATAGATAGATAGAGAGAGAGAGACGGAGAGAGGAGGAGAGAGATATTGGCGTTGAGATAGATCCGGTCAAAAATATATTTTCAAAGTAGTGTTAACGATTATTGGCAGATACAGATAATATTCTGTCATGAGCGTCATCTTAAGACAGTAAAATCAACTTTAAACTTCTCAATGATCACAATATTTACCTTATCAACCTATGGGATTCAATTCAATTTTAATACCGTTTAATACTATTAATGATTAATCGAGATTCCACAACTCTCTAGAGAGGCAGATGACTCACATGTCACCAGGAATTTTGGGATAGAAAATCACAAAATTGATGTTTTAGGAGAGTGGAACAACTTATTTGACTAGCAATATCCCTTGATATCTATATATGTTTTGTTTGCAGTCATATGAAAATGTCCTATTGAACAGAAAAATCCGAAACAAGGATTAAATAGTTTCACTGACGAAGAAGCAGCTTCGATAACAGCTGAAGTGGGTCAAAATGTTATTTGAACTTTTTATGGATGATTGCAAATTTCCATTGACAATAACAGCTTATAACTGTCTTATATCAGACTAATCGAATCGTTATTGACACAAGCCGTCTACAGTTATCTTCACTGGTTCTTGTCATTAGGTCAAATCAGCCTGGTGATGACAGTTCAAATAGTTTTGTGCAAGCTAAGAATGACTAAGCAATCGTATCGGTTTTCCGAAGGATGCATGAGGTATCACCACAATCGCAGCGGGTTTTTGGTGGCCATATTCATGCAGCCATCATATATATCAGAAATTCTGAAAAATTGTTATGGTTAGTAATTTCGATTCATTTAATCAAAGAATTATGAATTTTTAATTATCCCTTCCCTTGTATCTCTTCCCGTGTATCCCAACCCGTGTATCCCTTCCCGTGTATCTCTTCCCGTGTATCCCTTCCCATGTATCCCTTCCCGTGTATCCATTCCCGTGTATCGCTTCCCCTGTATCCCTTCCCATGTATCTCTTCCCGTGTATCTCTTCCCGTGTATCCATTCCCATGTATCTCTTCCCGTGTATCCATTCCCGTGTATCCCTTCCCATGTATCCCTTCCCGTGTATCTCTTCCCGTGTATCCCTTCCCGTGTATCCCTTCCCGTGTATCTCTTCCCGTGTATCCCTTCCCATGTATCTCTTCCCGTGTATCCCTTCCCATGTATCCCTTCCCGTGTATCCATTCCCGTGTATCTCTTCCCGTGTATCCCTTCCCATGTATCCCTTCCCATGTATCCCTTCCCGTGTATCTCTTCCCGTGTATCCATTCCCATGTATCCATTCCCGTGTATCCCTTCCCGTGTATCCATCCCATGTATCCCTTCCATGTATCCCTTCCCATGTATCCCTTCCCATGTATCCCTTCCCATGTATCTCTTCCCTGTGTATCCCTTCCCATGTATCCCTTCCCTGTATCCATTCCGTGTATCTCTTCCCGTGTATCCATTCCCATGTATCCCTTCCCTGTATCTCTTCCCGTTCCATTCCGTGTATCCCTTCCCATTCCATTCTCATATATCCATTCCCATGTATCCATTCCCGTGTATCTTCTTCCCTTCCCATGTATCCCTTCCCATGTATCTCTTTCCCTGTATCTCTTCCCGTGTATCCTTCCCGTATCCCTTCCTGTGTATCTCTTCCTGTGTATCCCTTCCCGTGTATCCATTCCCGTGTATCTCTTCCCGTGTATCCCTTCCCATGTATCCCTTCCCGTGTATCTCTTCCCGTGTATCCATTCCCATGTATTCCTTCCCGTGTATCTCTTCCCGTGTATCCATTCCCGTGTATCACTTCTCGTGTATCCATTCCCGTGTATCCATTCCCGTGTATCTCTTCTCGTGTATCCATTCCCGTGTATCCCTTCACGTGTATCACTTCCCGTGTATCCCTTCCCATGTATCCCTTCCCGTGTATCTCTTCCCGTGTATCTCTTCCCGTGTATCCCTTCCCGTATATCTCTTCTCGTGTATCCATTCCCGTGTATCTCTTCCCGAGTATCCCTTCCCATGTATCCATTCCCGTGTATCTCTTCCCGTGTTTCCATTCCCGTGTATCCATTCCCGTGTATATCTTCTAGTGTATCACTTCTCGTGTATCTCTTCCCGTGTATCCCTTTCCATGTATCCATTCCCGTGTATCCCTTCCCATGTATTTCTTCCCGTGTATCCATTCCCGTGTATCCCTTCCCGTGTATCCCTTCCCGTGTATCTCTTCTCGTGTATCCATTCCCGTGTATCCCGTCCCGTGTATCTCTTCCCGTGTATCCCTTCCTATGTATCCCTTCCCGTGTATCTCTTCTCGTGTATCCATTCCCATGTATCCCTTCCCGTGTATCTCTTCACGTGTATCCATTCCCTTGTATCCATTCCCGTGTATCTCTTCTCGTGTATCCATTCCCGTGTATCTCTTCCCGCGTATCCATTCCCGTGTATCCCTTCCCATGTATCCCTTCCCGTGTATCTCCTCCCGTGTATCCCTTCTCATGTATCCATTCCCGTGCATCTCTTCCCGTGTATCCCTTCCCATGTATCCCTTCCCGTGTATCTCTTCCCGTGTATCTCTTACTGTGTTAGAAGTTAATATCCGTTTTTTCTTTCCATTGGTCTTTCTTTCTTTTGTCTTAGTTCACCAACATAACTGCTACAATCATCTCGAGTTCATAGATCAAGTCGTCTGCCTCAAACTTTGCTAAATATAACTCCATAATTATATGGATTCTCCCGTCGATTTCGACGCATGAGGAACCAACAGATCAGTTTTAGAACTGAATCGCTACACTACACAGGCAGATAATTTGATTATAAAGGTGAAGGCTTGTGTAGAACCAGTCATGGAAAAACTGATAAGACAGAAATGGTGCACAATTTGTCCCGATGTCTACAAACAGCCGTCCTTGGGTCTAAATTTAGAGTATCCCTTTCTAGACTGGTAGCCAGCCACGGCAACAGAGAGAATTCATGGCATTTTAAATCGTATTGCCACAGAGTGAATCAAACAGAATCAGCAGGAATTGGAACTCAATTCGGAAATTTTATGTACCATTACCCTGCCAGCTAGTCAATAGGGCAGATAATATTTAGTTTAATACGAAGACTGAAAAGTTCTCGGTCCAACTCACTTCCTAAAATCTCACCAAATGACCAAACATCAGAATTCTTTTTTGAAGTAACATTTTGGTTGGGC